GATAAAACAATGGATCGTGATATAGTGAATTTCAAGTTCACTAAATCTACTAAATTTATCAGTTGTATCTTTAAATCAAAGTGTTAGGCCCGTTTAAATTCATATAAATGAAGAAATTTCTTTCATATGATTAATTGATTGAAAGTCCTGAACAAAGACTTTAAATGTGCAAATAACCTATTCTTCATTAATTGTCCACTTACAAGAATTCCTAACTGTATCCATTAATTAACCTTAAATGTGAGATCAAGCCCTGCATTACACTTTAACTGAATAAATAGGTATGAATGAAGCCATGTCACTACTATTTTATACACATGGCTTGGATGTAGTTCTGCTCTGTTTGTTCTTTTTCAGTGTGTAGATGCTTTAAGTCCTCTGCGACTCACTGTAGCTCGAGCACACCCGTTTACCTACGACTCTGCTCAGATACTATAAAACTACTCTATGCAACACAATGGAAAGTTGTAATATTGGACTAAATCAGTCATGTGAGTTCACACCAGAGAACGATTTTAAATAAGGGGAAAGGATTGTTTCCTTTGGTTGATCGTGTATGAACCCCTGGAGGTCTGAGTCTGTGTTTTTGAGACAGTCATCAATACACTGCAGCAAAACTTGGTTTTCACTAGAGGGGGTCTTGAATGTTTCTTTTTCCACTTTAATAACTCAAAAAGATAATTTGACATGCTGTATAAAACAGTCCTATTGTAATATAATGACGGTATGACTGACATGACAGGTCCCCAAAAGTGACACCAACAGTAAATATATTGATGAAGCCTCTGCTCCCTTTATGTTAGCAGATAGGTTGTGAGAAAAACTAAAAATTCTGAGCACACCTTGTTTAAAATAAGTAAGGTCACAGTGAGGATAATTTGAGGTACCAGGCTAATAAGTGAATGCAATGAGAGTTTAGGAGCCTGAGAAGCTGAGTGTTTCCTGATCACCTTAAATCACATCATGGCAGACGTGGCCTTCATTGTCAAGCTTATCTCTTGTGAATTTCCCTGCCTGCTTATTGACAAAGGCAGCTACATACACTTGCACTTCATTATGGAGAGCAGTGACATCAGCAGATCGGTGTGTTACCAGGAAACCTGGAGAGCGGCCTGGCCATCCAATTAAAACACAAGAAGCAGGAGAGGGGGAGGGAAAACAGGCTCCAGATCAGTTCAAACATATTTGTTTTGAGACGGAGCTGCTGCTGTTGCTCCAGTCCGCCTGCTGACACACTGAGAAATGACAGCTTCACACGAACAGTAAGTCGATTCTTTTAACTGATGGTGTGATGCTACAGATCATGAGACATAATTTGCCAATATTGTCGATTCTGTGAATGATTTAGATCACTGATATGAATGTGTGCTGTCATCTCTGATTTTTCTGTGAGGCATTTTGTTATTTAGCTGAGGCAGGTAAAGTAACACTAATGCGTTTAAAATTCTTTGTGAAGGGAACAAAAAAATAAACAGCTGTTTGGAACACAACAACATTTTCAGCCCAGAGTTCTTATTTGTTTCTGTGCAGATTATTAAAAATAGATTTTTAAAAAAATGCACTGGGTAGAAATTAATTGTCTAAGAAAGCAGTCCTGACATCTACAGTGTGAGAATTTACTCATTTTCAGTGATTTATAGCTTCACATTTTCAATCAGTTTAAGCTGTTTAGCTGTTTTTCATTTAATCTGCTGCTTCAAAACTGAAACCTCTGTGAAACCACGGCTTTGTGGAAGTTATATATTTGTGTTTGGATGGTTATAATGATTGGGCTTGAGGCTTTGAGCAACACACACATAAGTTGTGTTGGACAAAACTTTTTTTTGGACCTTTAAATATAAAAACTCTTGTGTGGCTCTTTAAAAATGATTAAAAACCACATAAATGTACAACTGGGTGTTTGATTGTTATTATTTTTGTTTTTTGTGATATCAAGAGAAAAGAAAGACAAAAAATAGTTGCTGTTCAACATTTGCTGAATCTGATAATGATCTTTGACCTTCACAAAAGCTTCACTGCACAGTTTAAAGCATTTCAAAGATGCTTCATCTATTGTGAAGGCACCAATGTTTTCTACTGTAACCTGCCATCACCAGAGGAGCTCTGCTAAATACGGATTTATACAAATGTGCTTATGTAAGAAGTAGCCTCCCCTTTTATTTTTATTCATTTGCTTTTTTGCTCTAATCATATAATATTCAGCAAATGCGATCTTCTGAGTTTGTTCCCTTTTCGATCTGTTCTTATATGACTGTGTACAATCGGCCATGGAAATCAAAAGTTATACATAAAAACATAATTACTCTATAAAATATTGTCGCATTATTACGGATACTTTCGGAAGTGCGTTTGTTTAAAAATAACTACCCTGGCTCGAGTTAAATTTCTTTCAGAAACTGCCTCAATCCGCCCACCTGGGTGACGCCAGAGCGGCAATCAAACACACTCTACTGTGCCCCGTGTTTTGCCTTGCAGGAGGTTTATACATCACTTACAGTTACTTCGCAGTCATTAAGCTTGCAAACATTCCCGATTTCATTTAAATTGCATCTAGTCTTGTTAAGTCCTTGCAGAGTGCTGGTAAATACAACATCTCCTGTCAGTCCGAGTTCAGGGCGGAAGTTACACCAAAAAGCAGTCGCATTTGAGTCCGCGCGGCAGGGGGTCGGGATCGCGCCCACGGTGGTGATGCTGCTGGCTGGCGGTGCTGGTTGGGAACCAGCCAGTTAGTCACCGGAGCTCCGAATAAATTACTGCATTTGTGGTGTTTGACACCGACGTTAGCTCGTGTAGCGCAGCAGCTGACGGCCGCAATATGCTGCTGTAGTTGCTGCTGATGCTGGTGAGCTGCAATGCCCGTCCGAGTATTAAACAGCGGATACTTATGCTAACTAGCGGCGGTTAGCTTGCTAGCGGTCAAGCTAACATCCCGAATTCCAGAGAAGACAGTAGTAAACCACTTTAGTCGTCATGTTAGTACGGCCCTCTGCCGTGCTTACTTTAGTTTGTTGCAGTCTTGCGTAACCACTAGAAATAACTGCCGATAGAGCCTCCACCAGCTCTACAACATTACTCACACTGTGGGCTAGCTGGCTGGTTGGCTAACTCACAGTTAGCACGCAGTTAGCGGCTAACCTAGCCAGTGATGCTTGTGGCAGAGTTAGTCTACGCCGCGAACAGCTGAAGTCATGTCTGTCCGATGGAGCTGAAGTGTTGCTCGGCTTGCAAAAGATGACGGGCCGCCTGAGCCGGGGTTATGTGCCTCTGTCAGCAGGAGGCGGAACATGGAAGCCGAGGAAGAGTGGAACAAAGACCTGAGTGCACACAAACTTCTGGATCAAAAGGTGCTTTGCAAGCAGAATGGAAAGATCGGTAAGATTGGTGCTTTTTTAATGTCATCTCTAAACTGTAAATGATGATCGCCTTTGAGCCACGTGTGGGGGTTACAAGTTTACTTCAAGGTGACCTCTCATCTGTATTTATAGTGAGAACTCTTCACAGCCTGTTGAAAACCCAGAAAACTCTGCAGATTCAGTCCATCACCCGCTCAGAATGTGCTGGTAAGCGATATCTTCTATGGACAGAACTCTGTTTTCCTCCTCCAACTACGTTTTTGTTCACGTTACAAATGCTTCTGAATCTGATGCTTTAGATCAGGGGTGTCCAATCCTGGTCCTCGAGGGCCACAGTCCTGCATGTTTTTGATGTGTCCCTCTTCCAACACACCTGATTCAAATGATCAGGATGGTTATCAGGCTTCTGCAGAGCTCGATGATGAGCTGATCATTTGAATCAGGTGTGTTGGAAGAGGGGAAACATCTAAAACATGCAGGATTGTGGCCCTTGAGGACCAGGATTGCCCAGCCCTGCTTTAGAGGGATATGTTTCAGTGCTGCATAAATGGGATACTGCCAGTAGCTGAAGCATCCTGTATCCTGAGGCCTAATGATGACAGTATTTGAATAAGGGGCAAGTCAACACATTGGAACAGTCCTTGCTTAAACCATTCATGTGTTTTAATCAAGACGTAAAACTCAGAATCCTTGTTTTCTCAAAGTTATCTGTAGTATTTTCTAAAAAACAAAAAAGAACTTTGTTACTAAATTTGAGTCACAAAAGTTGATTGATGCTTTGCATATAAAACCACTGACTGGTGAAGCCAAACTGTCACTGGATTTTTGGGACGGATACTCATCGGGGGTAAAGAAAAAATCAATATATCTGTCTATATCAGGGGTGTCGAATCCTGGTCCTCGAGGGCCACAGTCCTGCATGTTTTAGATGTTTCCTTCTTCCAACACACCTGATTCAAATGATCAGGATCGTTATCAGGCTTCTGCAGAGCTTGATGATGAGCTGATCATTTGAATCAGGTGTGTTGGAAGAGGGAAACATCTAAAACATGCAGGACTGTGGCCCTCGAGGACCAGGATTGCCCACCCCTGGTCTATAGTCTTTATATATACATGGATCAGTCAAACCTTGGGTCCTGGCATTCATGTGTGTGTCACTTTGACATCTAACATTGCTGCTGATGTAAGAGCCAACCTGAAACTAGAAGGCTGTGTTCAATAAACAAACCAAAAACAAAATCTCCTGATATTTTAGTCTGACTTTCAGACATTTGATGTGTGTCGGTCTTTGATTTTAGACGGATTAACGCTGGCTTTTCAAGTTGTCGTCAATTTCAGTAATGCTATATTTACCTGTGTCTTCTCTGCACCAGTCTGTCCTTGTGAGACGGGCCTAAAACACACACAGTGAAAACAGGAGAGGAGAGAAACCATTGCAACCTTACACGACAACAAAATAAATACATTTCCATGACTAAATTCTAAACTTTGTAAAATGAGTGTAAACAATGGAGTCGGTGTGGCCTCTGCTAGATGAACTGTGCTGACACCATTTGTAAATTACCCCAACCATCCTGCATTATGTTGTAGGGAAAAAAAAAAAGTTGTTATATCAGCACATATCAGACAACATACTGTTTACGCTGATACATCTGGGCCAGTAACCGATTTTAAATAAGCTCTCTGATTAGTGCATCACACACTTTTTTAGCTGTTCTTAGTGAATGACACGCTTTTATCCACCAGATATGACAAATCATCCTGTTGTTTAGCTTTTAATGTCAAGACATACTCTCCTGTGTGTCTCAGGTTCCTGTCCAAATCTAATGATGAGTAGGAGCGAGCACGCCGATGCCAGGCCCGTCCCGGTGGCCCTCACCCCCCAGCTCCCCCCCAGAGCCCACAGGCCCCTCTGTGTGTCAGTCTCCTCCGACAGCAGTGGACGCTTCAAGGCTCTGGAGACGCAGGAGTGGAAGAACAACCTCAAAGCTCAGGTATGTCCACAAACGCACGGACATCTGCTGTGTCCTCGGCAAGAGTCAGGAGTAAACCTGAACACAACACTGTGTCATGTAAAAAGAAGTTCTTCTTGCTTACTGTGTCACTTTACTGGTCAGAAACTGCCAGAGTGAAGCGTTAAGGCAGAGTTATATGAAAAGGGTCGTAAAGAGCACAGTTACATTTCTATGTAAGGGTACTTGGGTGTTTTTGTTCCCTGGTAATTTATTTTACCCTTGTTTAAAGCACAAACTGATTGCAAATCCTATGTTTCAATAATTCTTAGTTTCTGTGCTTTTGACACCATACCATGTGCCGTACTCAGCTCTTGACCGCTGGGTTGATGAAGTCCTTAGATCTGGATGGGTCTTCGTTGAATACATGTCAGATTTGTGTCTGTTGCAGATGGAACAGGCTCACAGTGCAGGAGCAGCCAGTAGCACAGGTTCTCTGGAGCGAGCGTCCCTCTTCTGCGCCTCTGCTTCTACCACAGCATCCAGCTCTGGTCTGTCCAGCCCGGTGGAGATCCTCAATAAGAGCAAGTCCTCCAGTCGCTTCTCTCTGTTCTCTCCACCCTGGAACAGCAGCTCTGAGTCTGACTCAAATCCTCCGTCCCGCTCGGGCTCCAAGAAGCTGCGTAACTACAGTAGGAGAGCTGCCACGGGGCCCGCCGGAGCCAGGGGCCCTGATACACCCGACTTCAAGTCCAGCGGCCCTGAACACTTCCAGTATTCTGAACCTGTCATCTCCAAGGTGACGGACTACATCTATGTTGGAAATCTGAACGCGGCGTACAACGGGCGTACTCTGTGCCGCAACAACATCGACAGTATCATCGACATGAGTAGTGTTCCGGGAGAACCAGGCCCCACTCTCAGCCTCATACCCTGCACTTGCTCCCGTGGCGCCCGGCACAGCTGGTCCCGCCTCAAGGTGGACATCGGAGATGTGCCAGATGCTCTGGGCGACGGCCCGGCACTGAAGCAGCGCTGCTTCGAGGACATCAACGAATGCATCAATGCCTCCACTGAGAAGAGAAAGCGCGTCCTGGTCCACTGTCGGGATGGCTTCTCTCTGGCACCGACGTGTATCATCCAGTATCTAATGGTGAAGCAGAACATGAGGCTGATTGCTGCATATGAGCTACTGAGAGCCAAATACCCGGTCAACATCAGAGAGTGCCACCAAAATGTGCTGGTGAGCTTGGAGAGAGCGCTACGGCCTGGTGGCAATGTCGACCCAGAATGCTTCAAACAGGCCATCTCACGCAAAGTGGCGTGGACCTGACTCATTTTTCCAACATTTCCTCCGGCTGCTGCTCAAGGCTTTCTTTGTTCCTCCCAGGGCAGCTGTACCTCTCCCTGTGTACTGGTCAACTGGATATTATTATCACCATTTAAGTTCAATGGTTGTAAATTTATAAATTTGATGTATTTCCTCCCCAGACCTGTAAATGTTATCTGGCTGTGATTGCGCCCCCCCTCCCCTCCCCCCATTCTCAACAATCTTATTTGCAATAGATTTCAGTGTACCCAGTTTCATTGTATAATAATTTAATAGTGTTGGCTGTATAGTGATATAGTCCTGCTTCAGTTCTGTGCCATGCTGTCGTGTTGGTGTTCTATATCAGGGGAATTTCTTAACGGGCGATCTCAGGAGATTATTGATGTCATACCAGTACAGGGTGGGAAATCGGTCATTAGATTAGTCTGCGGCCTCGTTCACATTTGGAACATCTTGGAGAGCTGTGTGTAGGACACATGGAGTTACCGCTATGCTCAAGAGTTGTACGGGAGATGGGCACTGTCAGTTTAGATTATATACCCAGCTGATGTGTGATGTTGGCTGATTATCGACATGCTGTATAATAGTGATAGGGCGGTTATGTCTTAATGCACAAAGATACTGCTGCCGATGTGGAATTACCTGTCAGGCTCAAGAAAAGTCTAAGCATATAAATTATTCCAAAAGGCAGCCATTTAGAAATCAAGCATGACATCTCAAGTGTGCTCCAGTTGTTGGCGTCCTCCCACATTGAGAACATCGGAGGTTATCTGCCTCATCGCTGGTGTCCCGATGACCGCTCGATGCTGAATTCATGCCGTCACCCAACCCTCATAACTCGACTGAATCCTTACCAGATTTGAAATGCTGAATACGTGTGGAAAGGAGAAACCCTGTGGGCTTCTTTTATACACAGTTATGTTTACACTGAGTGCTTTTCACCACATGTGTTGGTGAAGTATGGCTTGCATGCACTACATTTTTACATCACCTTGCATTGTCTTTGTGAACATGTTGGGAGTACCCTAGATGCAAAGAGACGGGGATCTCTGGCTTTATTGCTGCTGAGCCTGAATTCTGTTTTATCCTTCTCCCAAAAGATATATAATAGAATTTTAAATGTGAAATCGAAACACAAGCTATCGCTTATCTTTCTGATGAACAGTCATCAGCTTACACATGCCAACATCTGCAGACATCTGACAATAGGGCAAAGTAAGTCGACATCTTTTGTTTGGAGTCTTTTCCCC